AGGGTAGTATTACTTGAGCTAATTATAGTCTTTGAAGTAGACCCTAACCTATAGCGATTATAGAATAAAGCTAAGGCTATTAATAAGCGTTATTAAGGTGCCCTTACCGTAGTAGTAGCGGGAGAATAGAGTTTTCCCCCTAAGCTAAAGCTTAAAATATAGATCGTCGAGTATAGAATCGACTAAGGACGGCTAATATTTTATAACCGCCTATAAGTATTAGGGGACAGCGAAGATAGCGCTAGCTACCCGCTATAAGGCTATCTTATATAAGCGATCTATGACTTAGTAGTTAGCGGACACTTAGGCAGGGATAATACTATTACCCTAATCGCCCGCTAATTCTTCTAGCCGGATATAAATTAAGATATTAAAATATTTATACAGAACTATAATATATACTAAGCTAGGTATATATAAAGGGGTATAAAAAAAGGATCACTATACTTACTCTCTATAGTAGAGCGAATCTTCTACGATATCGTGATAGACTTTATAGTAGACCTATTACTTACCTATAAGGGTAAGTATAGATACTTATAGGTAATTATTAACTAACTCTCGAAATCGGTAATACTTAAAGCGATAAATACTATAGATACTAAAGCCTATACTAAACGGTTCTTATTATACTATTATAGATTCTACGGAATACCGAAGTCTATTATTAGCGATAAGGGGTTAAACTAGACTAGCCGCTTTTAGTGATACTTTGATAAACTTACGGGTATTAAATAGCGACTAAGCACTATATACTACCTATAAACAGATAAAGGTCCTAAACGTATTAACTACGAAATTTAAGTCTACTTATAGGTGTATACCTATTACGCCTGAGACGATTAGAATACGCTATTACCGGTAGCGTAACTAGCCTTAAATAACCGGGTAAACTTAATAATCTAAATAAGCCCGTTTTTCCTATAATATAGGTATTCGCGAATCCTCTCTAAGTTAAATAGACTACGCTGACCGATAAGCGCGAGGCTTCCGTGTAAGACTTACTAAATCGCCTTAAGAAAGCCACTTAATTCGTATAAGCCGTGATAGCCACTATATAACTACGCTAAGAGAAGTTAGTAAACCGTTAGCATTACCCTATTAAAAGGTTCGAAATAGGTAACCTTATATAGTTAGATATTAATAACTACTCCTCACTATAGCTATTAAAAAAGCCTACCTAACTCTACTATAAGTATAAGGTTATAAAGGTTATTAACTTCTATATCGTAGAACTAAATATTCCATTATAGATCTATAACTATTTTTATATAGATCTTTTACGGCGAGCCTATAACCCCTTACTAGGGTAAATAATACTAAACCCCTAGCTGCTACTAATCCGCGAAGGACTAGATAAGGAGGAGGAATAGATAGTAGAGGAAGTCCTTTACGCCTATACCCGAAGGCGAGGTCACGGTAAGGTCCGCGAAGTATTAATATAATAAAAGGGCTATATAAAATTAATATAAAAACCGCTTAAGAGCCTACGGAAGATATAAGCACTGAATGAATTCGAGAAGATATATAGCCTGGTATACTCAAACGACGGACCTTTATAATAATACACGAAGGAGATATAAACGCGAAAAAAGGCTAACACGGCAGCGAGGAAAATAAAGACTAAGAGTAAGATTATATTAGGGTTATACCCCCGCGGTACTTAACTTAGGAGTAAAAAAGAACTAAGTAAACCTCTAAAAATAACCGAAATAACCTAAATAATATAAATAACGAATTCCTATATAATCTCCCCCTTTTCTAGCTCTCCCTCTTATAAGGCTACGCCGTTCTTAGCGGCACTTACTTATAACTCCTCCTAAGGAGGAGCTAAGGCGAGCGTAGCCTCGGGAATAATCCCTGGATTATCCCTAATAGCGAAGGGTGTTATAGCTATATAGTGCTTATACACGCGACGGATAGAGTAAAAGAGATTACGAACCTCTTATATTATTATAGTAACATTATTATTCTTATCCTCTAGCTTCTACGATACCTCCTTAAGCGTTTTATCTATACTACGTATAAAGGCGGCGATATTATCGAGGGCTTATACTATACTTACCTAAAACTCGGTAATAGCGGACGGGGCGGTAACGGGCGGTAAGGCGATAGCAGTAGGCGGCGCGGTGGTAAGAGTAGGAGTAACGGCGGGGGCGGGAGCGGCGGTAAAGGCAGGGGCGATAATAGGAGCGGGAGCTTATAAGGGACCTATAATATTTTAGCCTAATTTAGCCTAACTAAAAGTAATTTAAAAGTAACTATACGCTTCTTAAAATTAGCGGTGATTCTACGCGGATAGTTAGTATAGAAGTCGCTATATAAAAGGCTAATATAAACTTATATTCTTAATATCGTTTTTCTTATTTATAGCGTAAGCAGTATCCTATAAGGCGTTAGCGGCGTTATAGGTAATAGCGGGGAGCTATATCGCCTATTAGTTATAGTCACTATATACCTAATAAGGACTACCTATAAAAGAGTATTTATACGTTTAGTAGGAATACTCGTAATACTTAGCGTTAGCCCTAGCCGCGCTAAGGCCTAACTAGTAGTAACACTTAATACTATATTCTTATTTATATTACCGGGTAGTATACTACGCGTAGGGAGCTAGGCGGCAAGGACTAAGCGGGTTCTTAGGAGCTCTACGTTTCTTGGGGGGGGGGGGGGGTTAGAGTCTACTTAGTATTAGTTACGGCCGACCTCGTAACCGATAATAACACGAGCGGAACTTATATCGTTATCACTACTACCCTTATAAGGGCGCTTACTAGATAAGATAAAGTCTAATATCTACTAATAGTTAGCTATAGCGCTAAACTATAGGCGAGGGGCGTGCTAACTTATAGTAAAGAGGATATAGACGGCCTAATTAATGAGCTATTACTCGGCGATATTAGTTATATTATTAGGGGACCTATAAGGTATCTCGGGACTACTTATAGTATAGAAATGTAATTTATAAAAATAAGAAAAAACACCTAAAAGGAAGCTATAAAGGGGGAAGAAAATAGAGAAAAACGAGGAATAGTAGGAGGTTTATTTTACTATCCTTCCTACGCTATTTAGGTAAAAGGAATAACCCCTGGTTATATATTTAGTAGGTATATCGTTTATACTAAGTATATACGCTAGCGAGGGGCTCGCGATAGCACCGCTATATAAGAGCTCTTTATACTATTTTAGCCTTAAAAGGATCTTAGCTACTACGGATCGCCTCCCTTTAAAGGAGCCTTTAATAAAATCGAATAAAGGAGGCTATTGTTAGATTATACGCGGGGAGGCTAGAGTAGTGCTATGTTACAACCGTGCGACTATAACACGACCGTGACCTCGCCTCCGGCCGGGGGGGGGGGGGTATATTATAGGCTATAGCCCGCGGAATACTGCCCGGTAGTGGCCGGGACTAAGAAGCACGGACCTTCTAGCAAAGCGCGTGCGATTCTATATATACTTAGCCGCCTATACACCGCGCAGAATTTTCCTTTCCTCCTTTCCTTCCTTAGTTCGAATAATCTATATTTTCGGCCTTAATACGTGAATAACTTTTAATAAGCCGTTATAAATATTATTAGGGTATAACCCTAGGACTATAACGTAAATAACTACTACACGTTAACCGCTATAGTACTACCCTAATACCGTAAGGGTATATATACGGTAAGATACGGGCTATACCGTATTTATAGCGGCGGTTACCGTTACTAGGAGAAGCAATTTACAGCTATTAGTATACTACTACTAAGGCGCTACCACGTTACTAAGATACTTATATTATTTAGCTATTAAAGTTATTATTATTATATCTATTACTACTATATTACGTAGTTAACTCTATACTACTATAGCCCTACCTATAAACTATATATTAATTATACGGAAAATAAGGATAATAAGAATAGAGAATTAGAAGATATTACTAGTTAGTTTAACGCTATAACAGTAGCCCTATAAGGCTATAAACGGGGATATAGTATAAGGAAAACCTATAATAAGCTGGAAGGCGTTATAGGAAGGAAAGTGGAAAAGGAAAAGGACCTTATCGTCTACTAACTATCTACTACTTTTACGGATTTAGGCGGCCCTGCCCTTCCTGCCTACTACCGGATATAGAAAGCACCTATTACCCCCTAAGGGAGGCAGAAACGCCTACCTTACCTTTCTTTTTATTAATGAAATAGAAGGGATAACAGGAATAGTCCCAGGGGATATAGGGAGGCCGGATATATCCTGCCATGGCCGCTATATAGTAGAGGCGCCGCGGTACCTTTATGGCCCCCGCCCCCTTACTAATAACCGGCCTAGGCTAACCCGAACTATAGCTTATTACCCTTCCCGTTAGCTATTAGCCTAAAGGTATAATCTAGATACGCAGAAAAGACGAACTAGGGCTATATCGGCCCCGTAATAGTATTACTCTAACTAAGGATAATAATAGAGGTTTTCCCCGGGACCCCGGGTTTTCCCTTTTATAGCCACCCGAGAAGGACCGTATAGTCTAGATAAGGCTCCTATAGATTAGATAGGATAATAGACTAAGAAGAAGAAGAATAATAATAATAAATTTATATATATCACGGATACCTCTATATTTAAACTGCTCTAGACAATATATATATATTTATAGTAGGATATTAGAGTCTTGAATTATAGTAGAGCATATTAGATGCTAAGTATCCAAATAGTGGGTGCTATTTAGCCTTATCCTTTATTTATATTCTGATAAATAGAGCCATGGGGCGAATTTATACGCTAACCTTTAAACGCCGTTGGAGGTGTATAATCAATACCCCCTTTTTTAAACCCGCGAGGTAGTTGATTTTGACCCTTACTTACCCCGCACAGCAGAACGAGCCGTGAAAGTATATCATAAACAACTGGTATTGCTGCGGCACTATGCAAGTTGCACAAGGACCGAATATGGCTTGATTTTGCTTCCTCTTGCCTCAGCGCGCATTGTCTCTTAACTCTTCCCTTCTGTGCATGACTTGTTGTTGATGGCGGAAGCTGGTTTGGCCCACGCGCAGACCCTCGAAACGACGACTCGTATTGCTTCAATTCAAAGATCATTGCCCGAGACTATTAACATAAGCAGGGGTTCAGGAAGACATTGCTCCATCACAGAGCTGCAAGCAACCTGCAGCGACCAGCGGGCGGCGTTCAAGTCTACCCAGTCAGTAACCTCAGCCATGAACGGAATTGTCGGGACAGCCCCGCCGGGCACGATGTACGTTCGAGCACTGTATGACTATGAAGCAGACGACAGGACGAGCCTCAGCTTCCACGAAGGTGACATCATTCAAGTAATCACGCAGCTGGAGAGCGGTTGGTGGGATGGGGTCATCAACGGTGTTCGAGGATGGTTCCCAAGCAACTACTGCCAGATCATCACTGGCCCAGAGGACAACCCAGAATCGGATCCGAACGAACAAGTGGGCCGGATCGAAGACGAACCGCAAGATCAAGAAAGTTACGAAGAACACTTCGACGAGGATGCTGGTTCAGATGAGGATAGTCCAAACGCCCTGCCCATGGAAGGCACACAATCTGCCGATACAAAATCTAGGGCTGATTTCTGGATACCGCAAGCCACACCAGACGGTCGTCTTTTTTACTACAATATGATGACTGGAGATCGGAGCCTGGAACTGCCGTTGGAGTCACCGGTTTCGGCGAGCGAAGCAGGGCCTCGTGATAGGATAAACATTCCCATACCCGACAGAACTCGGCTACCTCCTGAAATGCTTGCTCGCGGGTTAACGCAGGATGAGGATGACGATTCCGACACAAACTCGGCTTCAGAAATCGAAGGCGAGTCTCTCATGCTTGCGTCTCGCAGCTCTTTGGTACGCTCCCCACGCCGCATGTCTGCTTCTTTGGCGGCTCATATGTGACTGATAAGCCGTGTTGCAGCCTCGAAAACGCCGCTCGTTCAACGAGAACGGCCTCTCACACTCCACGTCAATGGATTCGATAAACGACACCTCGCCAGCTACTCGCAACAAGTCTGACCCATTCGTAGCCGCCAATCTCAGCATGAACGCAACGCCCATTATAGCATCGTCAACGTCGTTCACCAGCACATCTTACAATGCTCCATCCACAAGCACAGTCCCACGGTCTTTCTTTGATGATGGGTTGACACCGCCACTCACCTGGACTCGCTTAGTATCAGACATGCGACGTGCCATTGACCGTTACCGCGACGCCGTTACAAGAGGAACTCGGTCCGCGTACGTCGCTCGCGCAGAAGATATCTCGGACCACCTCAGACTCCTGCTGGCAGCCGGTTCTGGTACAACAGACAACCACTCCGGACAGCCATCCATCATCTCGACGAACAAGGCCCTATATCCTCATTTTCGGGACATGATGTCAAAGTTCTCCAAACTCGTCATCTCTTCCCATATCGCTGCCGCCGACTGGCCAAATCCCGAATCTGTGCAGAAATGCCTCCAGGAAGCTGACGGAGTGTTGCTGGGCGTCTTTAGCTATGTCGAGATTGCTCGGCAGCAACGGGGAGAGGAAATCCCGCGCCTGTTTCCTGGCTTTGTCATCGGAAGCTCAACTGGGGGTAGCTGGCAGAATAACGGCCTGGGGCGCCGAGATCCTATCACAGCAAACTTCCTCGAAGACGAAGAGGGTGTCGTTGAGCCAACGACGCCTATCGACGGTAAATTGCTAGAAAGACTGGATGAGTACAAACGCATGTTGGTATTCAGCATCCGGGAATTGGAGAAGCACTTAGTCATCTCAGACAAGGTGGTGACGGCGTTCCGACATGAGTTGATCGGCAACAATGTCTGCTCAGCTGGGGGCAAGGTTTTGGAAACTTTCAAGCCCTGGATCGCCCTCGTCGAGTCCATTGATTTGTCCTTGAATAACAGCCTTGAGATGCCTCAAGTGTCCGATTTCAACATGAACAAGCAATGTCTTTACGATACTGTATCGGATCTCCTGCTTGGATGCCAAGCCGTAGCCGGCCCCGTGGCCGACGAATGGGCTGAAATACATGGCGAAGCCTTGGAGAATCGACTCCAATATGCTCAACAGTGCGCAAAGGCTTTAGAGACCAATGCTTCACACATGGGGTTCTCACTCCAGCTGCTCTCAGAACAAGTCCTGACTAGCCCCCAACAGCAGTCCACGCAGCATGAGCAACAGGTCGACCCGCAACCACGAGACGATTTTGTGCCTCGCGAGCAGCTTCGGAGGGGCGAGACAATGCCTTACGAACGAACGCATCAGCGGACGGACTCCCGTCCAGCTCCGGTCCGACCGCCCCTCATGACGTCCCAGTCCTTTAGTGAGGGGGATTCTGCGGCTGGGAACTTCCGAAAGGGCGACTATTCCAAGGTCAGAAGGGTTCTTGGAGATGTACCGAACCCTGTGGAGGATACACCAGAATTCCTCATGCTCGATCAGGAGCATGATCTATCTTGGGATACCAAGACGCCAACTCCAACTGTGAAGGGAGGGACACTTTTGGCACTCGTCGAACAGCTTACAAGACACGATAAACTGGATTCCAACTTCAACAATACCTTCCTACTTACGTACCGCTCCTTCACGACAGCGAGGGAACTTTTCGAGCTCTTGGTGAGCAGATTTAGCGTTCAGCCGCCTGAGGGGCTGTCCCCGGCCGACTTTGAGCTATGGAGAGACAAGAAGCAAAAGTTCATCCGCGTGCGTGTCGTCAATATTCTTAAGAGCTGGTTTGATAATTTCTGGATGGAAGATTACAACGAAGAATCGAAACGGCTCATTCGAGATGTCTACGCGTTCGCTCGCGATAATGTCAAATCAACAGAGACCCCTGGAGCTGCCCTTCTCATGACAATATTAGACCAGCGCCTCAGCGGCAAGGAGGCTGGAGCTCGGCGCATGATCCAGACCGTCAATCAAAGCACGCCGGCGCCTATCATGCCGAAGAATATGAAGAAGTTAAAGTTCCTGGACATCGACGTCACAGAATTCGCTCGCCAGCTCACGATCATCGAGTCGAGACTCTACAGCAAGATTAAGCCCACCGAGTGCCTCAACAAGACGTGGCAGAAGAAGGTTGCAGAGGGCGAGACTGAACCGGCCCCCAACGTCAAGCTTCTCATTCTTCATTCGAACCAAATGACGAACTGGGTTGCGGAAATGATTCTATCCCAGATGGACGTTCGGAAACGTGTTGTCGTCATCAAGCACTTTGTGGCAGTTGCCGATGTAGGTTTTATGATGGACTTGCCATGTCAGATTTGGCAGAAACAATACTAATCCAGTTCGCAAAAACGCAGAAATGTCGAAGTCTTAACAATTTCTCGACTCTGACATCCATTATCTCGGCCTTGGGAACGGCACCCATTGCTCGACTAAAGCGTACATGGGACCAAGTCCCTCAGCGAACTCAAAGTGTACTGGAGAGCATGCGGCGTCTTATGGCCAGCACGAAGAATTTCGGCGAGTACCGCGAAGCGCTCCATGCAGCCAATCCGCCCTGTATACCTTTTTTCGGTAGGTTCTGGACTCTGGACCTCTTCTCCTCTTCAGCCACATGATATGCACCGCACCAGATCGTCTAGCTAAGCCATCCACGTCAATTCCCAACAGGTGTCTATTTGACTGATCTTACCTTCATTGAGGACGGCATCCCGTCCGTCATCAAGAGGACTAACCTTATAAACTTCGCCAAACGTTCGAAGACCGCCGAAGTCATCCGTGACATTCAGCAGTATCAGGCTGTCGGATACTCCTTGCAGCCAGTCCCGGAACTTCAGGACTACATCTTGATTAACATGCAAGGCGCCAGTGATGTGCACGAGATGTACGACCGGAGCCTGCAGGTTGAACCCCGTGAACGAGAAGATGAGAAGATCGTAAGGTACGTAACGTTGGGTCATCACGGCTCTTTTCGCATTGAGGACCTCGCACTTGTATTGGCATCCAGTGCAGCTGGACACCCTATTCGTACTTCCCCCTTCCCCCTTCCCAATTCCCCCTCCCCCCAACAACAAGAAACCAAAGATCCTCGACTGCTTTTTTTCGCAGTTTGATACACTTGATTCACGAGACACTGACCGTTTATCTTTCCTTGATACAGAGTCCTTGCCGAGTCGGGTTTCCTTTGAGAGTCACCCGAACAAGATTGCGCCAGTTTGTGTGGCAGGTGCAGCAGCGTGATCGAATATTCGGTGCATTCAACACCGCCCAGACCTTAACCCCGCAACTTAATCTCCGAGTTTGGCAGGACGATGGAACCCTTGCTTAGCGCTGTCAGATCAGGCACGCAAACACACATTCCCGCTGTAGCTGAGCTCGACATGACCTCCTTCCCGTGGATCATTCGGGTACTTGTTTCGTGTTATGAGCCTGGCCTTGGGACGTTCACGGTACAATTGAGACTTTTGCCAATGTGACACACGGGATTACTGGACGGGTCATCAACAGCGACTCCCAGATCACAGTTCCCGAAGTTGGTAAAGCAATGGTTGGACTTTCGTCAACGGTTGTGGGATCCGCGGGCCGCCTTTCTAGCATGGGGATGCGAAAGTCAACTGGACGATACATTGTATACCCGGACTAATGTGACATCCCGTGATTATAAGGGAGCCGGCTGCTGTATGTGGAAACAGTGACCAAACTCCGGCTGCGCCTCCTTGGGTAACCGCAGTGGCATATGGATGGGCCGGTGAAACCTGGTGACAGACATGTCCCTTTTTGAGCATGGAAGTGGAATGGACATGGGCTTCAACAGTTGGACGATGTTAACTCTTAACCCTGTCCTGGATTATTGCTTCCAGGAACGAGGGAAACTTACAATACATCGCATCCAAACTGCATAAACGAAAAAAAAAAAGAATAGCCACAATCCGACTCGATTCACACTGTGGGTGAATCTGTTGCTATAGTATCAGGTTGTGTGGCCTGTTCCTCCCACGGGCAGTATATGAACCCTGTGTACATGAATGAAGGGTTATGACAATTTCATCTCATTATTTGCTATTAATCAGTGTCGCTAAAAACCTTTCGTGCATGTATAGCGTTCCGGAGCGAGATTGAATGAAGCACGGGTGACCCAAGCCAAGCGGGCACATGGATTCCGTAATAGACAAAAGCGGACAACGCACTTCGAACTCTTGGGTGTAGTCTCAATTGATCTTGGACCACTAACTTGGCGGACCTTAGTGCTTCTGAAGCTTTGATTTAATCCGTTCCTTGAGGCTCCTTTTCCCACTGCCGCCGTGGCCGTCTTTATGTATCTCTCTGCTGAGGGACGCATGCCCATCCTCTTGTGGGAGTCCTGGATATAGAATTAGCCGTCGTAATGCAAACCCATGGGAAGGAAGGTCAGGGGTGGGTGGGTTTGACTCGAAGTGGGAAATGGGGCCATGGTATGTAGGGGTATAATGCTTACCACCCGTCTCGTTTCCCGCCTCAGACTCCGATGCGTCGAGCCGTCGTCCTTTAGCTGGAAGGCCTGTGGCCTTCGTTGATCTTTCACCGGCGTTATGGTCTTCGGTGGCATTTCGCACGTCGTCCCGGCTTGCCTCCTGGAAAAGTTGGTAGTGCTTGGCATCGTCCTTCACGATGTTGGTGTCTGTCTTGGTTTTATGTTCACCGAGCGTGGTTTGGAAGGGACGCGGGTCCGGCGTATCTAGGCCCGATGCGGAGACGCTGGACTCAACCTCTGACCTGTTCACATGAGACGTTACATCTCTAGAGTCACCACCGGCATGGCCGGCCTGGTTAGACTTCTTCGTCGTATATTCTCGCTCGGCATCGTCGATCTCGGAAATACTGGCGACGGTGCCGCCAACTATTTCAGTTTGAGTTTTGTTCGTATGGACATCAGTGTTCGAGCCGTCAGGCACTACCCTGGGAGTAGCAGCATCGGCCTGGATTTTCTGGGGCTCTTCCAGACCCTCATATCAGCACTGCGAGAGGGAACTGGAGGGCTGCTGTGAAAGGAACTGTACCCATGTTGCCGGCATCGTAAGGTTCCCCTTGGGCGGTGTTCCCCTGGACGCCTGAGATTGGCTCCTCTCTAGACTGAGAATCACCCCAGACAGCTTTTGCGGCAGCACTGGCCATGGTATTGATCGTCTCCATGGTGTTTGTCTTCTCGCTCTCCTGGTAGCTAGCCAACAGCACAAGCTACACGTTTTTAGAAGCGGAGGGGAGTATCCCAGTGAGATAGCTTAAGCGATTGGTGACAGGCGACAAGGCCTAGTAGTTACTGCAATCGTCAGGCTGAGGCTTTGGTATTGGCGGGTTCTATTCACGGGCAGGCAAAGGAGAGTTCGGAGATGAATGAATAGTGAGACAGCGAAGGTCATCGGCTACGTCGTAGGCAATCTAGCATTTAGGTGGAATTCTCAACGGAAATTTACCTCTTGTACTCGGCGTGAAATAAACCTGCACCTAGGTCAATGACAATGAGCGGTATGACGATACTGGCTGCTTCAGCCAAGACGAAGTAGCGTCATCGATCCAGAACCGATCTTTGCTCTATACCGTTTCCAGTACTATTTAAAGGAGTATTTCTATAATTGGAGTATCGTATAGAGTAGCCTATTGATGATGTTAGACTTCTGCTTATTAGTAGTATAGTAAATATCATCGATATAATACCAGAGGTTTATATTAATATTACGAATACTATAATATAATATAAATAATAATGTATAAGATAAGGGACTTAATAGGGAGACCTTATATTTCAATTATTATTCCTCTAACTTATAACCGCCCCCCTATTATTACTAGTGCGGGTGGAGTTATTATACTAAAAGCTATAATAGCTGCCCTACTCCTAAGAACCACTCTAGCCTTTAGGCTTAGTATAACTAGGCGTATCGCGGCTAAAACTAATAAAACGAGTATTATTATATAGCTAACCTATAGCGTTACCGAGTAATAATATATATAGCTTAGCGTGTTAATTACGTTCTTATATAATAGCTCCAGAAGGACTCCTATAATACTACTCTCTACCTCGCTTAAACCCCGGAAGAAAGATTTTACTAATAAGCCTATTATAGTAAAGAAAGAGGCCTAAGCGCCCTTTCTAATAACTAATAAGTCCTAAGCTAGGGGAATAGCATAGGTGGTAGACACGCCTAGTGGCCGCGTAAGGCCGTGGGTTCGAATCCCAGTCCCCTTAATCGCGCGCGCGAATTTTTTAATTCGCCGCGCGATCTACCCGGAGCTCCTGCACGTTATAGGGGTCCCCGCTTATTCGGGGAGATATTTATTAACTTACACGCTGATAAGTAGAACTATACCGCCTCTCTCGGTACGTACCCTCTTTAGGGGGGGAGGGTATATACCCTATCACGCGTAATTAAGCGCACCCACACACTTACTATAATCGAGCCCTAGAGCCTAGGGAACTACGAGGAGCGCGTACTACTACTTAAGGATAAGTTCCGGACTAATAATTCTGCTTCGTATATTCTTTACTTTTACATATAAGTTATATAAATAACTAGATACTCGTTATAGGCTTAGTCTCCTTAATAGACTTATGCTATAGCTTAAGGGCTATACACACGTATTAAAACAAAATAAAAATCCTAAGCTTAGGTATAAGCCTAGACCTAGGCCTAAAGGGCCTCCACGTTAAACGCGGACGCTACTAGTCGTAGTAAGAATAATAAGACCTTTATAGGAAGAGCCCGAAAGTAATATAAACAATAAAAGAATTCATTATATCCCTAAAGTAAAAAGAGTATACTATCTATATACTAATATAGGCGGTCGAGTAGGGTATCGCTAATACTAGAATTATACTAGATATAGATCGCGCCCTAGCAGGATAGCTTATTAACGAATTTATCGGTCTAATTAAGCTAAGTACCCTAGTACTTATTACCGGAGATCCCCCTAACACGCTAGGAGCCTAAAGCTCTAACCCTAACCGCCTAGTATAATACCGGCTAGCCGGACTCCTCTTAGCTTTACGCTTACTAAAGGACCTCCCGCGAAGCCTGCTACGGCACCTAAGGCCACGTCGAAGATAGTATCTAGAACTACGCCTAAGGTTATATCTATACTATAACCCTACACACCGTAATAGCCCTCCTCCTAGCAGAATAAGACCTTCTTATATAATAGGATTAGACTATTATATAGAAAAACGGTAAAAGGAAGAAGGATAGCAGCGTGCCCCCTAAAGGGGAATAGCCCACGGTAGCTAAGTAACCGAAAAGAAAGATAATGGGGTTTTCCTACGATTCCTAGCCAATATTATTACGTAGCTAAAGCGATAAAAGTCTATAATAATTATAAGACGCGCGGTTACTAAAACCGGTAAGGTAGACGATTAAGATATTATCCTGGTAAAGTGGACGTATACCGGTATAGCTATATAACCTAAGAACTCCAAGGCTACGAAGAAGATTTTAAGTATAAGACAGGACATTCGGGCTATAACGGGTATCCTTTATATTCAGGGGGCAGAAATCTAGTATACCTTTATTATCCACGACGTTATTAAGAGTATTAATAGCTAAGTAATAATAAAAGTTATTGATATTATTACTAAATAATATCTAAGTATATTTTATAATTATATATAAGCCTCTAGCTTATTACCAGAGCTCTACTATAATATAGCTATACTTATCTTATACTTAGATATATCCTCGATTTATATACGAGATTACCTCGTATATTGAATATCTAATAGTCTACTATCGAGGATAGTATTATATCGTAGTGTGACGTAATAGACTATATCGTACGACCACGACTTTGCCACCTCTATTCGGGTCAAATATAATGCCCCGAATCTCAGAATCCATTCTTCTTCTTCCTTATACAAGGGATATTGTCAGATACCACAGCCACCCTATCAGGGTATGATAAACCATATTATATTAGACGTGTGGAGTACCTCGGTCCTATATATCCACCCTTATTTCCCCTGCTGTTTCGTATAGTTAGATATCGCTATAAAGTATTATAAACTTTACTTAGATAAATATATATATAATTCCGCGTACCTTATTTTGTGTTCTGATAGTTATAAGCCCGGCGTTCTAATAAACGAAGCTATTCCGATCGATCCTATAGCTTCTAGGCAATTAGTCTTAAGTCTATAGCGGGTAGTTTAGTATTATTAGCAATATCCGCCTACTTTGGTTTTATTTAATCGTTTTATCGTTTCTATCGCACCACCGTTAAAAGCGTTTAGTACAGTTAATTAACCTTTTCGTATATCCTATTCCACTGCTTTTTATTAGTATAACGATAGCTTCCACGGTAGTAGTGCCTATTATAGGCCTTATAACGCTTACCTCTCCGAAAGACTAGAGGCCTTAGATTAAAGCCGTGATAATTATCGCGTACTCCCACGATTCTCGCCGACCTCGTTAATCCCGATCTTAAAGAGGCTAAACGGCCTAAGCGCCGTATTCGAACCAATCCACTAAAACCTCCTACTATAGCCGAAAAACGTAACGCCACTAATTAGGATATACTATTTAAGATCTAGTAGGTGGAAGAGGATCGGTATAAGACTAAAAAGAGGGGGATTTAAGCACTCCACGACTATATCGCGAAGACGGTTAGCCCTGCTTTAAAGGATTAGTACGCCGGTAAAAAGGAAGTTGAGGATATCCTATATACCCTTAAGACGCACTTTAAGCTAATGAACGCCGCGTAGAAGTCACTAATTAAGCGATATTAGGAGGAATATATATACAATATTAGGCGAATACCCTATAAGCGCTAGCGAGAGGACTTTATTAAGCTATGCCGGGATACTAAGATATACGAGGTTAATACCTATAATACTAAGGACGATTAGATTAACGGCTTTTTTAACGCTATTCGGAGCGTTATACCTAAATAGTCTAAGGGTAAATTTATATATCGTATAACGCTTAAGGAAAAGGACCTACCTTCGATATAGTCTATTATAGAGTAGTATACGATATAGCTTCGTCGCCGCTACCCGTACCGACTCGATAAGAAGCCTACCGTATTATCCTTTAATACGGTAACCCTCCTAGGTAAGGATAAAGAAAGTAAGAATTAGCCGGTATAATTAGGATAATAGGGTAACTAATAATCTAATAAATAAAAAAAGGAGTGGTTATACGACTCCCGTATTAAAAAGGGGAGTAAATATAACTATAAGCCTTTATAGAAGTGCCTAAACGTTAACGAGACACGCAGAAAGAAGGGATATACACCTTTAAAAGAGATCTTAGAACGCTGCGACCGGATTGTTAAGACCTAGGATAACGAATATTAAAAGAGATTCCGGGAGAATATCGAAAAGGACGCTAAAAGCCTAAAAATGGGTACTAAAAAGAACTCTTAGAAGTTATAGCCGAAAGAGTCGTTGACGGAGGTATCTAATTTTATCGATAACCAGGATAAGGATTCCGATAAGGATTCTTATAGGATATATTCCCTCCTATAGATAAATAACGTAACGGTTAGTAATAACCTCTTTAAGTAGCTATTAATCGACTCCGACACCTTAAGGTATATCACTAATTAATAATACCTGCTATAGAACTTTAAACCTGCCATAGAAGAGTATCGTTTTTAAACGAGTAATAGAGAGACTAAGCTAGTTAAGGGTTATAGCAGGATATAATTAGAAGTGGACGACGAATATAGTAATCCCTTCGTTTTAGTGCTAAATCGCGTTACTTTTATATAAGACTACCTAATAACCTTAATCGCGACTAGAAGATTAAAGGAATAGGGTATTGTTTTTAATTCCGGCCTCGAAGTGCTGAAAGTTAGAAAGGGCTTATTAGCCCTACCTCTGAATAACGTTAACGATTAATACGCTCTCGTTCTAACGGATCGATAATAGCACTTACTAAGCAGCTTCTTTAATAGCTCTATAACGACTACTATAAGCGTGGTAGACGCTTATTTATAGTATAAGAGGCTAGGGTATATAGGTATTACTGCCCTCGATAAAATTAGAGATACCCTTATTAGAGGTGTTATTAAAGGAAAAGGTCCTCTTATAGTGGATTATAAGACCTATGCCCTTAGTAAGGCGAAGAAGGTTATTTCTAGACGGTCGCCTAAGTACTAAACGATAATACCGTGGTATAAGGTAGAGGTTAACCCTTTTAGCCTTAACGAGGCCTATAATGGTATAAAGGTCGTGATGCTTTTATACGATCCCTATACTCGTTAAGCTATTATACGGTTTCTGCGTGACTATAAATGAGCTATACCTATATTAGTGAATTTTGACTTCTTCCTTTAGAGGCAGTACCACTATATAATTATAGTAATCCGTCTAGATAGAGAAAGATCCGTTTAGAAAGGCTTTGATAAAGGGCCCTACTAGGGCGCCCGTACAGATGAGTATGTTGCCCGAAATATGGTGGGCCCCGCCAAGTATAATTAGTGACCTAAGTACTAACCCATTTTGTATATACACTT